TTGGGTTGACATTCACTGACAGGTTTGTGTACTACATTTGTATACTACACTGTTGACGGTGAGTTAATTTTAAACTGGAAAGAGTTCAGAGAAAAGTAACCACAGCAGATTTGAAGGGACTCACTGACAAGAAAGATGAAAAGAGGGATCTATATACAGATCTTGACTGAAAGGTGTCTGGGTCTAGCAAAATGAACATGATAAAAATCACATGTATTTGAGGATTGTAATTAAATGTTATGGATGAGGAATAACTAATTAGGGCTTCATAAAACCAGGTGGCTTTAGGAATTTAAATGCAATTAAAGAGGCATAATGAAATATAGCATCATGGAAAAGATTGTGATAAGCATTTTTTGTAGTAATGGAAGTCCCCTTGCTTGGAAAATTTAGGATCAGACAAAGCACACTTTAAAGAATACCAGGAGGCAATTAAACGCAACTGAATTTTTTGTTCTCTTTTTTTTTTGGTATTGTGTGATTCTTTCTGACAGCACAAGAGTTTGTATACAATTATTTTGATTCCAAAAGTTTTGGTTCAGAAATCAGAATCTCCACACTCAAACATTAGGATCTAAGTTATTACATCTCCCCAGGACACTTCAAAGCCTATTAATTATCTCACTTTTTCTCAATTAAATACACTACTTGAAGTGCCTTTTCCTTCATTTGACTAGCAGACTAGATTTCTCATTCCAGCTGACCTCCGTGAAAAGAAAATTAGAAGAAATGTGTTTACAGGGCAGCCTATTTAAATTCAATTTCCCTTGCTCTGTGTCGAAAGAAGGAAAGTTACTGCATTTCCCCTAGTCTTCAAGAAAGTTTTGGAGAACATTCAGCATTTGGAAAAAATTGATCTCTCTTTGCATTTCTTTTGGAAGGGGAACCAGAGTTCTTGCTACTGAAATTTGACATGAAGACAATATACTCTCCAAGACCAACTCTTAAAATCTAAGTAATCTTTCATGTTAGGATGGAAGATCAGTTGCTATGTTTAAAAGAATTTTTGGTGCTACCGGATTACAAAAATTTGCTGGGTCTGAAAAAAGACTTTCACCTATGTTAAAAAATTGCCTATGGCAGATGATTCATAAGAAAGAAAATTAGAAGACAACATGCTCTTCCATGACTTTGCAGCTAGCAAGAAGAACAAGAAATATCAGCTTCCCAAAGCGCTTTAGAAACCTGATTAAAATTATTCATGATATAATAAGCTGTAGCTACTGATCTGATGGCAATTGTAATTACTCATGATTTTTCCAGGCACTTTCCAGGAGGAATGCTCTAGTCTGAAGTCCTTCTCATCCTCCTTTCCCCTACATCACCATTTTGGGCCACAAAACTTTTTTGAAAGACAAGATTCTAGGTGAGATTTATACATAGACCAAAGTATTTTTTATCGGATGAGATAACTAATTATAAGACAAGTCCACGCCAAGTTCCTGCATAAAGGAAGTACTTATGGCTATACCTTGAATCTGAATGTATGTCGTAATTCCACCATGGATGTTTTTCTCCTCTACAAAACAAGTTTTATCATGTTCCCTACTTCTCATGTTCCCATGGTAAAAGGCTTTCAGAGATGAATTAACATGTTTGTAAAGAGGAACTAAATAAGATTCTTACGCGGATTCATTCATTAGTACCTACAGCACCGCCTCCTCTCTTTTATACCATTTTTAACAAGTGTTAACAATGATCTGTTGCCTCATGGGTTAAAGATCCAAAAAAATCCAACTAGATTGCAATCTCAAAGACAGGCAGAAGAGCAAGTTTGTCTACCCAGAGAGCTACAGTTATTGACAGGCTTCATAGTGAAAGAAATCTTAAATGAGTGATACTTAGAAACTTGAAAAATGCCTGCTTTTTTCACACAAGTTGGCAAGGAGACCAGTGCAGTTTTGTTTCTGACAAGTCATTATCTCTGCGTCAGGATAAGTTTAGCCCCCAAACAAGCAAAACTATTGTTTTCCTGTTTAACCAGCAGGATACAAAAATAAAAATCTGACAAACATACGCAAGAGAAACAAACAGAAATGACAGCACTGTGTGATAAAAGCCAGAGTTCTGCAAGATCTTGCTTGTGAAAGAGTACATTATATAAAACATTGTTGATTAATTTGAGGGATGACAGACAACATCCATGGAGAGGGAAAGTTTTGCTCTTCTGACTCCCAGTTGTGTTATTCTGAAGGAAGAAGCCATTTTCTTTCTGCTGAGAGAACCGTTTTGATACAGTAAAACATAATTTTCAAACTTCTGAAAGTCCTAAAATGAAGAGCTCATGAGGTGTTTTGCAGAAGTGAATGCAGACAAATGCAGTTATTTCATTTGGAGATGACTGAACAGAGGCATGTATTACTACCTCCCATTTTTAAACTGCATTTTTACAGTTTTATTTTACCTACAACCTTGCAAAACAAACACAACTGAAAGCTACGTTTAGAGTGTGGTGTATAAAATTAAATGTGGTTCAAAGGGCTACATTTTAAAGAGGTTTCTTGGCATATAAAAATGCAAATAGGTCCCATGACAGATGTTGGTCAGTGTTACCTTATACTGAGAGAATTAAGCCCACTTGAAAATTCCTTAGAAATTTGGGTGCTTATAGCAATTAAAGCATGACTAAGAGGCTGATAGCCACACCAATACCATGAAACTCCAACCTACTTTCCTAGTCTGAAAATGAGGTTTAAACAACAACAACAACGAAAGAAATATCCTGTGTCAGAACAAATAACAGCAATATGTAGTCACTGTGTCAATTAATCACTGTAATTTTCCACCATATTCATTAATTTTTTAAAATAAAAAGTCTCACCATTGATAAAAGATCTCAAGCCAACTTTTTCTTTGCAATAAAAGCTAAACAGAACCCACCTGCTGTAAATGTAGCATCCCATATGATTGATTTCTTTGTCTAATTTATATCGCCGAAAGTCCTCCCAAGCATCCTTAATGGCTGTAATGGCCATTATAACACAAATTGGGATCACAGAAACTTCTGGTTGGAAAGCATTCACCACGGGCACAAAATTCAGCAGTGCAATGACCACAAAATAAATATTGGCAAAGCGATGAAGCTGCTCATAGATATTTTTAGGGAGGAAAGTCAAGATGGTATATTTTCTGGTCTTAATTTTATTGGAGTCATAGTATCTGTTTGGATTTTCCTTCCATTTCCTATTTCCAAAGGACAAGTTGGAGATGATCACTCGCTTATTTTCATTTTTCTTTTTCCTTTTCTTTACTTTTCCTCTCTTCTCCAGCTCTTCGTTTTGGATTTCCGCGTCCGGATCGCCACATCGGCAGCACGTTTCCTTGAAAAAATGTTTTTTCCAGATCATTCTAGAGAAGCATCCTAGAACACTTTTCCGTGACATCTTGTTCTCCCACAAAAAAAGTACCCTTTAAGTTGAACAGCAACGAAGCCAAAGGAGTTCAATCATCCAAATAAACTCCCGAGTGACGGAGAGAAGAGTCAAGACGTCTGAAGCCCAGGGCAGCCTCTCCTCTGACTCCAACCTCTCCCTGCCTAGGGACAGGTATCATCCTGACTCAGCCGCACCGGCACTGCACCTCGCGTACGGCAAAAGCATCCGGACTGTTTTGTTATTCCTGTCAGCGCGCGCCTGGAGGTCCCGTTCAGAGCCCGTCCCTCGCATCGACTGGCAGCTCACAGCCAGCACCTCTGATCCAGAGCAGAGCAGCCACAAAGCTAAGAACTTCTATGGCTCCCTCCCCCAACTTCTATGGCTCGCTCCCACGAGTTTCAGAGTCACTTTATGAGCTTGGGAGTTGCCAGGAAGTTCAAAGGTAATGGGCAGAGCTCCGTGTCCCAGAAATCAACAGGAGATTGCTACAAGCTTTGCTACAGACGGGATTTCTCTCTTTTACTTCCTCTATCTCCTATTTGTTTTCACGATCGTGGATTATAAAACAAATAGCCTCCACCCCTCCCAGCCAAGCAAACCTATGGGTTGGCAGTGGCAAGAATTATACATAGACGTGGGCACCTGAAGGGCAGTTTACCTAGATTTCCCCTCCTCAGCCTGATTCTTCTCCTCTGGTAGACCTCCTGCCTTGGGACAGCCAAAGTGTCCCCTCTCTCACCCAGTAACCCCTTCCAACCCCTCATTTCTTCCTCCCCATTGGCCCTGTGACTACGACACATAAGTACGTAAGCACAGATGAGGGCTAATTTCCAGGTGAGCTAATGAGATGTGTACAAATTGCAGTAATTTCTTCTCTGTGGCCTGGGCTTAAGGAGAGGCAAAAAAAGGGAAGAGATCCTAACTGTCAAACTTCTAAATGAAAACTCCTATCTATTGCATTATGTACTGACGTAGTCTCAAGTCAAGTCAGTACTTGGAAAAGAAAGTGATGAAATCAAAATGTTGCAATAAGAATTGCACGTGGAAATATTTATTGTGTCTGAGTCAGTGCTGAGCAAACGCTGCAGCTCACTGCAGGGGCTGTGCCACCTCCAAAGTGAAACAGTGCTGCTTTGATCACCTGTCTTCACTGGAAGTCCTATAAAGTTGGGGTTTTTTTCAGTTCCTGGTTATGCTTACCTTGAACATAGCTGATAATTAATCTTTGTATTAATGGTTTGCGTGTGAAACGTCTGACAGACATTGCCCCAATTTGTTAAACAGCCCCAGTAATCATTTCCAGACTTGGATGCGTTTCATTTTCCCTCCAGATCCTTCTGCTACCTGGGGAGGACGTTGTGTGTGTTGGCAAGCTGCTTTGGAAACTTGGAATGAAAGCTCGTGCATCAACACAGGCGGCTGTGATACGAAACAAAACTTCAAAGATATCAAGATGAATTAAGCCAGATAAATGAGACATTTTTGTAGGTGGAGCAAAACTCTTGTATAACAGGTTTTCCAAACTTACTGTACTCCAAAGGGTCAGTGAGGGAATTACTGCAAAATCAGATGAGCAGTTTGCCTCACATCAAATACAAGGAAAAATAATTGGTTTGGTTTACTTACGTGTTATATACTCGGGTTTTAGAGAAATTTATGGTCTTATCAAATTGGTATTTTCTATAGTCTTCAATAGCATCCTTAATCATACTGGCAAGCAGAACCAAGACCAGAGGCAGCATAGTAATCTCTCTGTGGAAGACTTCCACTTGTTGGAACCAGTTCAGAATCGCCAGAAAGAAGAAATAAAGATTACCCAGCCTGAAACACATAAAATAAATTAAAAGCACTCAGAAATTACAAAGCGTCCTTTTCCCAATGATCATCCCCCATTTTTTATCAAAGGAACAGTAATCATTTCACTCTTACACCCTCCTCTTCCTTTTCCAGAATGAATTAATCAGTTGCTTAACTGAGACGCTAACTTTTTCTTTAGAAGAGCTTGTGAAATACATTTTCATAATATTATAGTTACCTCCGTTTCTCCACATATTACAAACATGTTTTGTCTCTGGGAACTTAAAACTTCTTTAGTTTCAAGACTGCCTCAGTCTTGAAAATAAGTGTGATATAAAATAAATAAATGAAAAGAACAAAAACCAACCTCACCTTAAAAATACAAACCAGTGTAACAGAATGGGTGTAAAACCCCACATTTTCAGAAATCTCTCCATCAAGAAGCCATGAAGGATTCCACAGGTGGAAGGTCAAATTATGGATGTCTTAATTTAAAATGCAGAATGAAAATTTAAAAGCTACTAAGGGATATAGAAATTCCATTTATTTTTATCATACTGATATTTCCCTGGGCATCTTATTGATGTCATTTATTATCTTGGGAGGGTACATAATTTCAAACCAGTATTTGGAAAGCAACCTGGTCTATCACTTGCATACCCTGTATACTCTTTATACCTTGGTAGACAGCCCCACTTGCATGCCATTAAAAATTAATCTATTAGACTCTGAAATCTACAGAACTTCATAGGTATCTCAACAAATCCAGTGAATGTCTTTGTATGTTCCTAAAATTTAGAGGTTCAATCAACACAGAGACTAGGTTTTTTTTTTAAATAACATCATTTTGACATAAAAAACTGTGACAGCATTCAAACAAGAAAGCTGGCCACAGCATCAGTTCAGCACACCTGGTGTTTCCTTCCTTTAAACCTCCATTTGAGTGCGATTCAAATGACTTTTGGTGACAAGCAACCATCAACCAAATTTAATATTGTGCCAACTATAAAAGAATCTCCTTCCCCTTCCCTGTCACCTTCAAACATCACTAATTTCAGGGAGGGTTCTTAAATCTCATTTGTCATTGAATGAAATTTTTTACCTGTGAAACTGCTCAAAGAGATTTTGGGGCAAAAACGTGAACCACGTGTATTTTGCAGTCTGTATCTTGTTTCCAGAATAAAACACAGAAGCTTGTTTCCAGTCTTCCCACTGTCTCCCATTGCCAGGAAACACAATCCTCCATTTTTTTAAGTTGAGTTTTGGTTTGTCTCTTACAGAAAACAGCAGTGGTGTCGATTCTGATAGAGGCTGAGAGGGACTTGCAGCTCCCAGTCGCTGCCAACGGTACAAAGCAGAGTCCACAGACAAAGCCATTCTCGGCGGGGATGTCAGGCTGAAAGAAAAAGGCGTGACAAGGACTGAAAACCAATTCCATTCTGGTACAAAATTCACTTCATGTCTTGCTAGCAGAGGTTTAAAGCAGCAAATCATACTCCCGTTCAGCGCATTGCATGTTCAGTCTTCAAGCTCAGCGCTTTCTGCAGAAAATGCCCAGAATAAAAGATACAACAAATCTTCAATAGGGAAAAATCTATTTCTATCTCTGGGGAATAAAAAATAAATCCCAAATCTATTTTCTGTGTGTTGCAACAGCAAACTAACAGAGATAAAGCCAATTTGACAAAGGTGAACAATGGCTTTCCCATCACAAATTCTATATCATTTTGCAGTCATAACCTGCCACCAAATCTATTCAGGCATTTTCATTCAAATGTCTGACATTCTTTCAGCACTTTTTCTATTCACACATACTTACAAAGGGACTGGTTCAGGTGTTGAATCTTAATAGCTCGGAAAATCAAGAACTGCAGCATCAGCTCTAATCTCATTTACACTCATGTAACAGTTTTCCAGAGTCTCCACAGAAATCTGATTTGACTGAGAAATGCCCGCCAGCACGAAAACAATGGAAATTTTATTGGTTGGAGAGATAAAGGAATTAAATCTCCCAATACTAATCCTATTGACACTGAACACTTTTCTTCTGACTTGTTCACACATCCACAACTCTGTAGGACACTCAGCCCAGGTCTCTATGCTGTTATGGGCAGTGTAAGCACAGAAAAATCTCAATCCAACAGCAGGAGGTTGAGGACTGGAGTCTGCCATACAATGATGAGGCATTAAATGTGAAAAAGCAAAAAAGAAAAGGCACTGGTCTTGTGCAACTTCTAGGTTCCGCTAAATAAAACATGCGAACCCAACCCACTTCACTTATACTGTGGGAAATACAAAGAAAAAAGATAATCAACAATAGTCATTTAGATTAATTCACTGAAGAATTCTTTACCCATTACTTAGTAGTGTCTGTATTTGAAGCAGATTTCTGACCTTCTCCATTTAGAAAAAACAAGATAGGCAACATAAAAGTGATCGAACTATTATCTATTTATAGCAAAGGAAACTTAGCCGTACAGAAATGTGTCAGCGAGACACCCAGTTATGCTGTGAGATGAGAAATGTGTAAGCTGGAAATCAGATGCAGTAGTCACATTATTTCACAAGCCGGCATCAACATTTCTGAAATGCGAAGCAATAACCAAAGTGTGAAAAACTTTGCACCTCTCCTACAAAATTATGGAAGAACGTATGTGCAGGAAAGTTTTCAAAATTTCTGATGGTTGAAGAAGTGAACAATATGCTGTAAATTAAAATGGTATCATTCACCTTGTCATCAGGAAGCCCTTGAAAAATCAGAATTTCTTTGCAATGAAACGAAGACTGATAATAGTCTTTCTGTAGGGTCTAGGATGCAATTGGATAACTTGGATTGTCAGGCAATTCAGAGGGACAGTGTCATTAACCACTTTTTTCTTTGCCACTTGCATCTGGATTAAAATATCCAACTTCTATTAACTAAAGAGACTGCATCATGCTCTTCTTTGAAAAGACACACATTTTGACTAACAGTTTTCTAATGGTATTCTGAAAAAATGTTTGGGAAAACTTACTGACCACTCTGTCTCGGAAAGCGGATACTGCACATGCAATAAACACCACAGGAATGTATTTATCGCAATAAGCAGCCATTAATTATATCTTATAAAGCCTAAGGCCACCATTCATGTGTTGAAAGCCTCATTTATTTTCTTCTTACTGCATTTGTTTCATCAGTGAATGAAACTGTCGCCATTGCTAAGTTTAGTTCTGCCTTTCCGCCCTAAGTATCTTCTGTCAAGTCAGCGTGCTCATGATTTCGCCCACACTGTGGTAAGAGTTCATAGATAGCCCCTACCTGGATCCGTAACATAAGGCATCCAGAGGATGTGAACACATTTGGAAACGAGAGAGAAAGAGGATAATTATTTATTCCTTTTGTTGGGAAAAAAGCTGAGAGGCATATCGGGATGGTGGAGACAGAAGGAATGATGTCGAGTCCTTTCCAAGTGTGGATTTCAACACGTTTGGCTGTTTCAGCACATCAGAGATGAACTATTATGTACTTATCTCTCTCGAGCTCTCTTGGGCAGGCCTCTGCTTATTTTTAAATTATTTTTTATATATATCATACTATAATGGGAATACGGAGGCACTCTTATACAAGAGGTGAACTTCCTTGTTAAAACACATCTTAAACAAGAAATAAGCCGGAGGGAAGATGGCACTACAAAACCTAGTTGCTAGAATTTGGCATTTTTCTCCTCAAATGTTTTTGAGCTTATCTTCAATTTGTAAGTGCTGCGATTGTAAACCAGCAGAAGTATTTGGGAAATATTTCCCTTTACTGGAAAAGGGATGATGCAACAGTCTATTCAGGGTGTTTTCCTCTCGCATCCTTGTGCTGACAGGGGGGAGAGTCCCTCTCGACTTTTCACAGATAGCCTATATGATCAGCGTCCACCCTGTGATTGCTTCGTCTCATCCAACATCAAAAAAAAAAATTCCCTTTACATGATAGAAGCAAACTGCGTTAGAGAGCAGCGCCAACGCTATTGACAAGGAAGGTTTAGTTGTGCTGTATAATTTACAAGTATTCTTTTAAAAATGCTCTATCTTTTTTGAAGATTCTTGCATTCAAAGCAGGCATTGTCGACTGTCAGAGAAAGCTCACTAGGAAGTCAGCAATAAGAAAATAGTTTCTTCTCTTCTGAGGTTGCCTCGTTCCTGCCAAATCACAGACTCAGCTACAGATCTCTGCATCCCAGATTTCAGAAACCGGGGAGAGGAACCCTGCCTCTCCTGCATATGTGCAAAAACTTTTACATAGTCATGCCTCACGCTGTTTATTAAAGGAGATGATAGTTCCACATTAAAAGGAAAATAAACCTGCTCATAGGCATATGTAAAAACAACTTCAGAAGCTAGCATTACAAAGCAGCAACTTGTGGAGCTATCAAAGAAAGACAAGATCTATACCTTGTTTTCAAAAGTTGGTTGGGTATTCTGAAAATCTGACTTCAGGGCAAAATTTCAGACAGGGTGGAGCTTATTTCTGAAAATCAGTACTGTGAGAAAGTGCAGCAGAAGCACTTAAACACAGATGTGTGCAGCATCAAGAACTACAACTAAGAAAATGTCCATCCAAGTCTTCACCTGACATTTTCATTTCCACATTGCCTGCAAGGCAAGTAGGTATTAAATAACACCAATCTCCTCTAATATTTAATTCACTTATTCCAAAACTTTTATTGTATTTCCTAACTGAACGCAGCAGCAATTTTTCTTCTTGATGCTCTGTGTAGATGATGTGGCATCCATTCAAAAGAGCCATTCCAGGGAAGATTTGGCAGGGGAGATAAACTTTACCAAGTGAGCTGACTGGTATAGAGATTTCAGCCACAAACGACTTTACCTGCTTTGCAATTATGTGCTAGGAAGCTCTTTCATTTATTGGTGATACTGTATAGAAACTCCTCCTCAGTCACATCAGCTCAGAGAAAAATTTTTGTGGTTAAGGCTGAAAGAAGAGTGAAAGTAGATTGGGAAGAACGAGGAAGGCAATTACACCAATTAGCAGCATACAGACCACAGCCTAAAATTGTGCTGGAACATTTTATATTGGAGGAATGACTTTTGCTGTATGAAAGAAAAGTTTGGAGAAAGGAAAAAAAGAGTTCCAAACAACCCCTTCATTCAAAAAAAGCTGGTCATTGCAAGGCTGTTGTCATTCAGCTGACAAGAGAAATGTATTATGGCTTAGCTGTTACATAATGTTTCTGAGTGCAAGTTTGTGTGGGGTAAACAGAAAAGAGCTTTCCATAAATCTAATGTGTCATTAGACCACAGGGCTTCACTATGCTATTACTGTATTAAATTGACACGTTTTTCATGTCTCGGCCAGATTCTCTTTCCTTGGGGAACAAATCCCAAAATCTTGCAATAATAGGTTAATTATAAGACTCTTTCCTGAGGACAAACTAGATTTCGGGGTCTGATGCAGAACCTTCCTTTAGCTTGAGCAGTGCAGAGAGGCATGTTCAGGCAGCACAACCTTCTGCAGGGCTGCAGCTGTGTTATGAAGCCTGGTTTCAAAATAGATGCGCTTTCAGCATACGCTGACACGCAGGTCACACGCACAAGAGTGATTAGCAGATGTTATTCAAGAAGGAAGTTTCCAACTTGCAAACAGTAATGCTGGATGCTGTGTTTAGCTTCATGCTGTGAACAAGGAGCTTGGTCTGGTCTCCCATATTACACGTTCATTTAAATATGGTTAGACTAAAAGCATCTGGCTCGCTGCAATGAGCATCGTTTCTGCCGGCCTGCCCAAATACTACAGTGATCTGTTTTAATACATTTGGGCCCCATTGCACTTAATTTATGTTTCGGGGGGCTTACTGTGATCCCTTACTCCACTGCTGATTTTTAGACTGTTTTGGGCTCAAAAAGAAAATGAAGGCAGAGGTCGCTCCTCCATCTTTACTACCCTCCAACACTGTAATTATATTTGCTTTTACGAAGTCCAAAAGGGCAAGGTGTTACCTGGAGACATCAGACTGAAAGGGCAGCCAGGTCTGTAGTTCTCCTGACTTTGAGCGAGGTGTTCTTCAGGTTTCTCTTACAAGTCAGTGCCCAGATATGGGCAGTGAAATCAGCTGCCTAGCCTAAAAATGCTTTACATGCATACATCTTTTCAAAAAAATAAACGTAGTTCCAGACATAAGACTGCAGGCTTCAGGCATGCCAGTGCAGAAATGAGAGTGATCATTATAAGAAATAGTTAGATCTACACGTCTTGGCACGTTTGCAGTTTTGAGGATGCACACAACAAGGTCCTGTCCTAAATGCAGATGTTTTCTGAAATCAGGCACTGATTCTTTTTATCTAGAAAATATAAGAGCCATAATATAGGATCTCTTATTCATACTTAACAG